TGAGCGTGTGTGTGCGAGCATGTGTTTGTGTGAGCATGTGTGTGTGACCATGCGTGTGACTCTGTGTGTGTGAGCGTGTGTTGTGAGCATGTGTGTGTGTGAGCGTGTGTATGTGTGAGATCATGTGTGTGACCATGCATGTGACTGTGTATGTGAGTGTGTGTGAGAGCATGCATGTGTGAGATCGTGTATGTGTGAGTGGGTGTGAGAGCACATGTGTGTGCATGAGAACACACCTGTGTGAGCGCATGCATGTGTGAGATAATGCACGTGTGTGAGCGTGTAAGAGCACACGTGTGTGAGAGCACGTGAGAGCATGCGTGTGTGAGATCATGCATGTGCATGTGCACCCACACACACACTCAGCAAAGTCACCACCCAGTCATCTCTCGGGGGAAAGACTTGAGAAACCACTACGTTGGCCTCCACCTGTCTCGAGACACTCTGGGTGATGATGTTGCATTACTGGACCATTTAGCTAGTTTAAGACAGTATGCTCAACCAGTTTAAAAAGCATAGTTTTTAATTAATGCATTTACTTTTTGATGCCCTATCTCCGACTCATACGCAGTTTTTCTTAATCAGCATCACTCTTTTCTGGTGCTCGCGTCCCGTTCCTGTTTGGGGAAGCGAGCTCCAGCGGTGGGCCCACCTGTGGTGGGGCGCTGGTGTGGTGGACGAGGGGGGCCCGCACCCGAGCAGCTGCGGGGAGGGCACCCCTGTTCTGGGGGGCACTCGACAGCTGCCTGCACGTCCCCTGCAGGCCCCCAATGAGGTTGGCACCACTGTGGACGAGGAGCCTGAGGTCCTGGGGTCGAGAAGTGGCCGCTCTGGGACCCAGCGGGTGCTCATCTGCCTGACCCCCGACCTCTGGCCCCTGACCCCTCCGGGCTCACTGTACAGCATTTAGGGCCCAACAGTATGTTTTGTGCTCTATTAGTTTCAGCTCTACTTGGTTATGATTTTATGGCTTTTTTTAAAAAAATAGAAAGGAAGCAAAAGGCAGTGAGTGGAACATTGAAAACAGTGGGGGCAGGACAAGACAGGAGTGGAAGAGCCCTTTCCTGCATAGCGGGGGACCGACATGGGACAGGCGGGGAGCGGCCGGACATGGAGAGCAGACGGGACCGGGGCACCGTGGTGCTCCTGAGCCGTCTGCAGGCGCTCGCGGTGGGGGGTGTCCCTGACTTTGGTGAAGTAGGCGTGGTTCCTGCCATGGCCGCTCTGCGTCTCCACCCTGAGGGTAGGGTCAAGGCTGCCTCGCCATCGGGCTTTGCGGGAGTTGGGTGAGGCCCCACTGACGTGGGGCGTGGAGCAGGGTCATTCCAGTGGTAGGTCCCCTCGATGGAGCGACGCTCTGCTAGGTTTTAGACTGCTCAAGATGAATTCCAGGGAAGAACAGAACACGTCTCCCCACACCTCCCAGGAAGCTGAGCGTCCAGACTCAGGGACAGGGCTAGCTGTGTCATCTGTAAGCAAAGCGCAGCTCTGAGACAGCCATGGGAGTGGGTGCCCGGGCCCCGGACACAGGAGATGGCAGCTCAGCCCCACACCTGCAGCCGCCTGCTAGCAGAGGGGTGCTCGCTCCACCCCCCCAGACCAGTCAGCAGACGGGGCCCCGTGGGGCATGCTTGCTATTCCTCCAGTCCCTGGTGTAAGACAGGAGGCAGCCCCTACCCATGTGTCTCCATGGGATCCCTCCGTGGTGGGGTCAAGTCTCATTTTGGTTTGGGGTCCCGTCTTGGGATGGGAGGAAAGGTAAGGCCGGCAGGCTGTGGGTCCAGAAAGAACATCAGAGGCCAGCCAGTCTCCTGGGGATGCCTCCAACAGAGTTCCCCGGGGCTCTCCCCGGAGGACTCCTTATGGCAGATACATTCCAGGCTCAGAGGGCACGGCCTTGTCTGCTGGGACAGACAGTGGGTCATCCTTAATCGGTGTGTCTTCTCCTGACTCTGAAACACAAGGCTGTCCACTTGCCTCAAGGCTCTTCTCTTGTTCATTCCTCATTTTTCAGACCTGGGCTCCCTGGTGTGTTACAGTATCTACATGCATTACCTCATGGGATCCTCGCAACTTGGGGGGGGGTGGGCGTCATCTGCCCATTTTACAGATCAGGAAACTGAGGCTCAGAGCTGTTCAGGAAGCAGGCATATAATACAAAGTGCCAGACACCTGTGTTTTCCTACCCCTGCTCCCACGTCAGGGCACCCGTCGCGTGTGTTGTGGGCCGACACGTTTGGCCTTTGGAAAGCCCTTGGTGACTGAGTGTGGCTGAGTCGTACACTCCTGGTTGAGCCTTTGCAGAGGAAACTTGCTCAATCCTGGTGGGATGGCTTCCTCATCAGGTGGTGGGGCCATTCCTTGAGCCCTGAGGTGGCTCCACAGCCAGACGCATCTGACCCACCCAGTCACCCACAGCTATGTCAAGTCCTCAAACCCAGGGTGGCCTCTGGGCCCCGTGGCCTGAACTCCAAGGGCTGGGATTTCATATCCCGAAGAGCCCCTTGCTGTCTTTGTACTTGCAAATTTACCCCCGCCGTAGTGGTCCATTTGGGGGCCACCGAGGGCTCATCGGGGGTTAGGGCGCACTCACTGACTTTCACTGGTGGACCCAGCCCTGGAGGCTTCTCTGGGTGGGACAGTGGCTATGCTCTGGAGCTTCAAGTCCCCGCTGGCCTAACCATCCCCAGAGCTTGCTGGGCGGCCGCCAAGAGTCATGGCGGATGTGTGGCCAGACCCTCAGGGCTCTGCTGCCCAGCGGCCACAATTGTCCGGGCAACAGGCAAGCCCGGGCCGCTGGGCGTGCGTCCGTCCTGCCCCTGCCTCTGTCCACCATGGCGCCCCTCGCGTAGGCTCGCTGTAAATTTGCCTCCGCCCGTGGAGAGAGCAGGGTTTTTATTTTCACACTGAAAAATCACTGTCTCTCCTGGAAGAAAGAGAAACAGCCATCGGGAGTAACAAAATATCCGTGTATCCAGAACGCTCTTCAACTGTGACCTTATCTTGTCAAGGTCCTGTAGCCCAATCCCCAATTTCCAAGCTCTCGGGCCTGATGTCAGTCTTGTCCTTGGTGGTGCACAAGGCAGGGTGCTCCAAAAGGCTCGAAGGTCCAAGCCCTCCGCAGGTTGCAGGTAAGGAGCCCACCCTTGGCGTGTCCTTACCGCGGCCTCGGTCTCCGTGGCGGGTGGGGAAGGAGCCTGGGGTTTTCCTCTCATTGTTCCATGCATGGGGTCCGTGGCTTGGTACAGGAAGTCCTCAGTTGGGTGCCGAGCACTGTCATATGCCCTTGCGTGATGTACTTGATCACACTCGCATGGAGATGACCCCACCCCCACCACCAAAACCAAAAAGGCCAGTGGAGAATATAGACACCTGACTTCTCAGCCCCCGATGGCGTTCTTGGCGGACACACTGCGGCAAAGTGAGCTTTTGCTCCTTCCAGTCCACCGAGGTCACCTCTGGCTGTATGTCGTACCTCCTTTACCTCTCTTCGTGGACTTTTCCTGTGGCAGAGCTCACTGACCATTCTGTGTTTCGTGGGCAGCAGGCAGTGAGGGGGACAAACGGGGCGGGGGACTTTGGAGACAGAGCACCTGGGTTCACATATCAGCCTCTGCCACGCCCCGTGCATGTCATGTCTCTGAGCCTCAGTCTCCCGATCTGTGAATGGGGTGGCGTGGGGATCCGCAGGAGCGCCGGTGAAGCACCCGGCCAGGTCGGACACAGCAGGCCCTGCTGGACCAAACCCTCCTGTTCCTTTAGGGTTAAACTGGGAAAGTAGAGAGTGCGTGCTTCAAAATGCCAAGTGGCTGCATCCAAACACGTGGCGCGATCTCGGCGGCGTGGGGTTGGCTGGAGTTCTAAGACCGCGTCCCTTTGCACCCCTGCTCTTGGTTTTGAAGAACCGTCAGGAGGGAGGGTGCATGGCCGCCGCCCGCGGGGCTCCCGTGGGAGGCTTCTCCGGCGCGTCCGACTCCCCGGCCCTGCAAAGGCTCTCGTGCCGTGGACCTTGGCTTGATTCCTTTCCGTTTCTGAGCACGATGGGAAGTGGGAACCGTGGCGGGGACACCCAGATGAGATGGTGTATCTCCTTGACAAGAGGCCCCTTCCCTTCCAGCCGTCAGGCGACCCGATGGAGAGGACGGAACGTTCGAGCAGGATAACAGGAAGGTAATGTGGGGGCAGGTCTGGGCGGGAGCAGCCTTGCCCAGAGGCAGTCTGGCTCAGGGGGGTTCCCCAGCCAAAAGCTCAGGCTCCCTCTCCCACATTCTGCTCCAGAGGGGTCCCACGAGGCCCCACGCGGCAGGGACCAGATTTCAGCGGTGGCCCCGCCCGCCGCCTCCTCCCACCCAGACTAGCACGCCTCCTGCCGCAGTCCTGCCGCACCCCTGTAACCCCGTTACGGCTCTATCACCGAGGCCATGTCTAAGCAAAGAAAGGAAAATTAGTCCAAGGGTATTCTCGAGGCATCTGGGGTGCTGGCTCGTGAACAGGTTGGGCAGGGGGTCCCAGGGAAGGGTCCGAGGGTAGAGTGAGGCTCCGGGGGCCACGCGGCTCGGCGACAAACGCAGCCATGGGGAATGCGTGGAGGCCTGGGTGCGCCTCTCTGGGGGGGTTTGGCCCCCAGAGTTTCCCGCCCTGGCTCCAGGGAGGGCGAGGGCCCCTGGCTTGTCTTTAAGGGAGGGAGCTGTGCATGGAGAGAGCCCACGCCTGGCTCACCCGTGCACCCCCAGGAGAAGCCGCTTGGGCCCCTGACCTCCCTGACCCCACTTCCTCCTCTGTAACACGGGGCAGCCCCATGCAGATGGCCTCCGCATTCACGTGGCTTTTTTTCTCCCTCAGCAGAAGACCAGCTGGCTGCTTCTCCAGGGGGATACAGACACTAGGACTAACTCTCCAGACCTAGACAGCCAGTCTTTGTCCCACAGTAGCGGGACCGATAGAGACCCTCTCCAAACAATGCAAGGGGACAACTTTTACTCACGTGAGTGGTTCTTTTGAGCAAGGAGCTGTACCTGTGGCATGAGAGGCCTCGCAGCAAGGGGGCCCCACAATCTGGGACCCATCCCCCAGAACTGAGCCTTGCTCGTTAAGAAATCTAAGGAGCAAATCAGGTAGGAGAGCGGACCCCCTTCCCGTGTGAGTTCCCCTGGACATGGTGAGCTCGCGTGTGGCCCGTGGGCACACCGGCGTGTCTCCTAGAATGCTCCAGGGCTGGAGACAGCCCACAAAGCCAGACTGGCCTCCTGGGTTCTGTTGCAAAGAACATCTCCCGGGCCATCAGGCTGGGAAGCGGGGGGCCCGTTTCCCTCCAGAGCAGCCGCAAGCATGGTCCAGGCGGGTGAGTCCAGACTGGGAGTCGATGACAGGGTACAGCCACCCGGCGCTCGGCCTGAGCAAGGCACCAGGGAGTGGGGACATCCCGTCCGCAGGGAGTGTGGGGATAAGTGACCGCTGCCCGACTCTGGGGTTCAGGAGGGCTGAATTAGGAGGGATTTTCAGATGCAGGGCAGCGCTCCACATAGAGCTCTAGAATTGTACATTGTGGGTGAGAAGCACGGCCAGCTATGGTGTGATGCCCGCAGGAGACCTGGACGCCGTGCCTGGGTCCCAGCGGGTGGTTTCCTGTGGGCACGTGTGGGGCTGAGCTGGGACGCAGAGGTGGACGGGGGTGTGAAGAGGCAGAGCACAGAGGCTGGTGTGGCCATGAGACCGGCCCCAGCTCAAATCCGGGCTCACCCCTGATGGGCCGTGGGACCCTGGGCCGTGACCGCCCCGCTGGGCCTCCGTCCCGCCTGTCCGCCTGTCCAGGCCAGTAGAGACCGGAGGAGGTGACACACGTCCGCAGCCGGCGTTCTGCCTGGCCCATGGTAGATGCTCAGCAAAAAGACTGTCATTGTCATCCTCATTCTCGTGACTCTGAACTGTAACTTGTCTTACACGTGGAAGGGGCGGCCCGGGCATTGCCGTCTGTTAAAGAAGAGCTCGAAGCAAAGCAAAGGCGCATTGTTTTGCGTATGATCTTTGCAAGCAGACATCATGGGCCCCCTCTCCCCGTGCCTCTGGCCCCCCGGGGGTGCAGCGCTCTAAATATGGGGCTCTCTGGGCCGGCACACGGGTGGATGCCACCACAGGAAGGCCACGTCAGAGCAGTCTCCCAGAGTGACTCGTCCAAGGTGGTGGCGTGCTCCTCCCAGGGCAGGTGCGGGGAGGACGCGGCGCGCTGCCCATCCCCCCACCGCCGACAGGTCACGGCGTGGACCAGCCCAGCAGCTGAGGTCCAGCCCCCGGCCCTTGTCTGCTCCCAGGCTCCCACTGCCCCGGGTGCTGCAGGACTTGACCATGGGCCTTGCTGCTCCATGTCCCCTTTGTCCTGATGGCGGTTGGTTTGGAAGGGGGTGGGATCCTGTGGCGCCAGCCCTCCAGCACCCCCGCGGCCCTCCCACGCCTGGGGTGTTGTCGTGTTACCCACGAGGCCCAGGAGCTCTCAGGAAGTGAGTGTCTGGGGACCTCAGGGGGTGGCCTTTTCTGGCTTCCCATCCTCCCCTTGCTGGGTGGTGCTAGGACCCCACCTTCGGCTGACCCCGGGATCCCCACTTATGTCCGCAGCCCACCTGCGGGGGGGGCACCCCGTGGGGAGAAGCCTGGCCACAGTGCCCCCCTCCCCGTGCCGTTGACCTGCCCTGTCGCTGGTGCGTGCTACGTTCACCCCGGTGCGCTGGCCCCTCGCCTGCGCGCGCTGGGACCAGGGCCCCCGGGCCATCCCGGGAGCCCCGTAGGTGGGAGACCCCCTGCGAGGCCCCCAGGCTGTGCGTGCTGTTTTGACTGGCCAGTCACACACCTGCAAGGTCTTGTTTTGGCTCCGTCCCCTCATCCTCATTGTTGTCTCCCCATCACTGGGGACACAGGCAGCCACAGGCGGGGGTCCCGCTGCTTGTCACCCAGGGCGTACCTGGCCGGCAGGAAGTGCCTCACCTGCGCCAGAATCCCGGCCCTAATGGGGGAGATTCCTCCACCGTAGAACCAACGTGTGTGTGTGCGTGCACGTACGCGTGGCCTTCCCCTTCACGAACGCTCGCTCGTGACGATTATGACAGTTCTGTCATTCCTCCGCTTTCTGTGGTGTTCCGATGTCGGTTCCGCTGAGCAGGAAACCCACCGTGCACCTGCTGCAACCGTGCCTTTACCTCGCCTGGTTTCCCGACGTGCATGGGCACAGCATCCGGGACCCCGGCTACTGGTCATGCCTCCGTCACGCGTCACGCGTGCCTTGCTGCGTGCCAGCCCGTTGAGAAATTGGGGTGGAATGGGCAGCGCTCCTAAACAGAGGGTTACATACCCCTTTCCTCGGGGCTCCTTCCACTCTCCCCGAGTAGCTCCCGAAGTGAGCCCACAGACACCAGTACCATTTGCAAACAACTTTCACTGAGCAGGGCGTTTGCACGCAGCCAGGCACGCCCCACCTGCATCCCCGGGACATCCATCTGTAGTGCGCCCAAGGAAGGTAGGATTGTGACACTCAACACAGTGGACGCTCAATAAATGTTTGTTGAATTGAGATGCATTAAATTCAACGGGTATTTATTGAGCACCCACTCTGTGCCAGACGCTGTGTGGGGCGCCAAGGGGGACACCAAGAAGAGACAAGAGCAGCCCCTGCCCCGGAGAAGCGTGCAGGGAGCTGAGAGAGGCAGAGACGCCCACGGGAGCGAGCACCCGCGCATCCCGCCACCGCCCGCCTGGGGCCTCCGAGGGCTGATGGGGCCGGGGGCACGTCTCATCCCATTCATGACCCCATCAGCACATCTCACCCGGGGCTGAACTCATCATCCAGTCATTCATCCATCTCTCCACCAGACGTTGGTTGAGCACCTACTATGTGCTGGGCACGGTGCTAGGCAGCGGAGAGGCGGAGGCGAGTGTGGCCCAGCCCCCATTCCCCAGAGGAGGAGCAGATGACTGAGCAGCAACGACAAGCCACCCTGTGACACCCTTCTTTCTGGCCCGCTGCCACCTACTCCGAAGAGGGTCTCACTGAAATACACGTGCTATTATAGATGACCAAGACTCTCCTTTGTCCTACACCTCGGGCCTTATAGGGACTCTGTGCATAATGTGCTGTTTCCAACGGGCCCGATTTCTGCAAAGGGAAGGGTGATGTTGAGTTTTTGTTATGCGAAGAGGGTCTTGAGCTTTATAGGGTGAGACTCACCGTCCCCAGAAGAACATGAGGTGACGTAGGCCCCCTCCCCCATAAGACAAAGGCCCAGCTGGCTGGGGACCCCGCCTAGAGGACTCAGTGACCCCTAGAAAGAGCCCAGGGTTTCTGAGGACACAGGCCCTTCCTAAGGCCCCAGCACAGAGAAGAATGGGGGAGGGGGCCGGGTGGGAAGAGCTCTGCATTGGAAACTGAGGCAGCACAGATGGTGGTCCCAGGGCTTTGGCTTTCATGTCACCGTCTGTGTGTCCCTCCCTGTGGAGTCTTGTGTTTGATGGGACATGCTTGTCTTTACCTGCTGCCCACCATGGCTGGGGGCCTGGCCTGGGGCCAGGCTCAGGATCGCGGCCCAGGCTCCCTCCCAGCGCTCGCGGGGCGTGAGGCTTGGTCAGAAAGGGCCCGTCCCCTGTCATTCCTCTGGAGTGGTGCCAGAATCTTTCCTGCATTTCCTGCTCCACGAGTCACCGTCATTTGCTGTGTGCTGATCTCTGAGAATACCCGGTGGGCAGCCACGCGCCTGGCTTAGGTCTGCCCCGCGGCCCCGAGGGCTCGACTCCACCAACATCAGGCCTGAAGAAGTACGTCAGTCCCTCTCCTCGTTCACGACAGGCAGGACAAGGCCCAAACCTCACCAGATGCTTCCTGAGCACCTTCTGTGTTACCGCACTGTTGCGGGTGCTGAGGGTCAAGCAGAGGATGACATCCCCTGCCCCGAGGGGCCGGCGTGCTAGTGGGGTGGGGGCTGAGACCAGAACAGAGTTAGGAAGTATGCATCGGCGCCCTGCAGGTAAGGAGGCCAGGAGGTGCTGGGGCAGTTTTCAGTACAGTCGGGGGAGGAAGACTATCTCAGCAAAAGACTCGACGGGAGTATAGGCTCGAACAGTGAGGATGATCGGGGGCAGCCTGGTAGGTTTGCAGGACGGCGAGGGGGCCTGCGTGGTAGGGGTGAAGGCGGCGACACGCAGGGTCCTGGAGGACTGGGTCACCTGGGGAGGACTCCAGCCTGGCGTCCAAATGGCGACGTGGTCCCGGAGGGATCCCAGCAGAGCCCGACCTCGTCTGATACAGGTTTTCGACAGGCCTGAGTGGGGGCAAGAAAGACCATAGGAGGCAAGTGCCATCATCCAGGTTGGGGGACAGTGTGCTGGGAGGTTGTCCTAGAGGGGTTGTCCTAGGGGCATGTCCGGGGGGGACGGTTCCTATGGGGAAGGTGTCCTGGGGCAGCTGTGCTGGGGGAGGTATCTTAAAGGGGTGTCCCGGGGGGTGTCCTCGGGGAGAGTGTCCTATGAGGAGGGTGTCCTGAGGGGTTGCCCTGGAGGGGCATCCTCGGGGGCTGCTAGGGGGAGGTGTCCCTGAGAGATGTTCTAAGCAGCACAAACACCATGTCCAAGCATATGCCAAGGCAAGAAGCAGGGCAGCCATTCGGGCAACAGGAAGCCAGTGGGTTGGCAGAAGAGGGACTAGCCAGGACCCAGCTGGTCTGTGTATGATGCTAGGAAGCTGTTCTGTCTGTTAGGGAACGGGTCAGTGGGGTAGGGCTGTGAGCAGGCAGATGAGGCAGTCTGTTCTGCATATTTAAAAACAAGGATGGGCAGCTTCACAGAGGATAGACTGGAGGCTGCTGGGCCAAGCACAGGGGATTAGGGTGTCCACATAAGCGGCGGGGAGGCCCCTTGAGTGGTCTGAATGGCAGGACCATGTGTGAGCAGTTAGGGTTGCGTGGCGGGGACAGAATCAGGAATGACATGGAGATAGTTCTGGCTCAG